GATGATGATGATAGTGGTGATGATGATGTCAGTTCGCTACCTCAAGCGCACGCCTGCCACTTGCCTGAGCTATCCCCAGCTGAGCGAGGCGTGTTTGGAGCTTATGGTACTGTGCCTTTGCTGCATCGACGTGAAAAGGTGTCAAGGTGTGAAAAGACTGCTGAGGCAAGATTCCAATCCGTATTTGTGGGATCATCTGAATGTGTTTGCTGTTGCAGTAAAGTTATTGGTTGAGCAAAGCCGCTAATTGGACAAGAAGCCCCAAAGCTTCAAGCGCGCAGCAACCCCCGCACTCTGCAACCAGATGCCCGGTCGAGGGCTGCAAAGCTTGGCGACTCAGGTATGCTGAGGATGCGAAGCTTGGTCCTGCCTTGGCCCAGAGTCTGCCCTGTTCTAGATCTTCCCAGCTTTCAACTCAGTCCAGGTTTGGGGCTTGACATGCTTGGTCCAGACTTGCCCAGGAAAAGCCGCAACACCTTCCTCATCGACACCCTGACACAGCTTCTGTCCTGCCAACCCACTATGCTTCCAGGCGAGAATTCCATCTATTCGTGTAGATTTGCAGAACAGTCGCCTTTCTGGCTGGGATTGGAGGCACCCTTTCCTGCACAAAGGCTCCAGCCCGGAGTTGCCAAGCCCGTCGTCATGCTATCCTCCCCCCGACAAAGCCAAGGCCGATTTGGTAAGCTGCCCCAGCTATCCCCTACATGTAGGGGTTTGCGATGCGCGCGGCTGTTGGTGGGTAAGCTGAACGCCTTCACTTCGTGCTTGATGCTGTCCAGCTGAAGCTGAAGCCGATTGTGGCTTTCCGGTAAAAGGCACGATGCTAGCCACCTGTCAACACACGAACGCACGCTTCGTACCACCAACGAGTCGCAGGAAACCCGCCAGATGATACCTTGGTGCAGTCCTGGGGTTTGGCTGCGCAAGCTGCATACATCCGGCTGGTCAACGACTGCCAGTTCTGTTTGGACACTCAGAATGCCTTTGCGTTTGGGCGCATGGAGGGCGGGCGGGGAAGCATCTACCCATGGAGTGCTGCCAGTACGATCCCTATCCGAGGAGAAGATGCTAGCGAGGCGCAACATGTTCTTGGACAGGTTGGAGGACTCCAAGAAAGAGAACAAGGACTGCTTCTTGATGCAACCGGTCCACTCAAAGACCACGGCCTTGCACTCAGCAGGTCCACTCAAGTTTCAGGTTTACAACCCCTGTTTCGGTGGGCGGAGCCCCGTAGTGACTAGCTTTGCTTTTTTTTTTGCCTGGAGTGTGGGCATTTGGCCATCGCAAGCCTGGCAGGTCCAAGGCAGTAAGCACCTCAATGCCGGAGTGTCCGGGCAGGAGCATGCGCTCCAGATGGCCGTACTCATGCAGACAACGACCAACTCGAGGGAGGTGCTGGATGAGCAGCCAGTCTATGAATCAAAGCAAACGACCTTTTTAAATCGGCAATGCGAAGTCTGTCCAAGTTATCGACTCAGGTACAAGAGGCGGTACTTCTGGGACAGCATCACCCACAGCTTCAAACCTCCATCACGGCGGATAGGCGAAACCGGTGAAGCTTCGTCCTCGAAGCCCCAGCCGGCTGCGCATTCGCCGCCCTTGCCTTCGCCGCCGCCGCAGCCGGGCTTAGCACTGCCTCTGCGGTCGGGAGAGCCAATGCCAGAGGTGCAGGACTGGGGAACGATGCTTGCCAGTCCGAAATCTGGATGGTGTCTCGCAGGCAGATTCATTGCATGGCAAGTCGTCATAGTGCATTTTACGTTGTACTACATGTCGACCCGGCATGCGTCTGTGTGGGGCTGCGCAAACATCCTCCAGGAGCCTATGCCCTCGCCGAGGACGCCGTCGGAAGCATCACCTTCGCCACGACCGCAGCAGGAGCGGGGATACACTCTCAGCATTCTGAATGCTGACAGGGACCTACATGCCTGGTACTGATCAGTGAGGGAACGAATGTCGAAATAGTCGGCTTGAGATGGTTCAGGCTTTGGAGACCGGTACAAGGCGGCAGCTCGAAAACGTTCGACGTTTCAGGAAAGGTCCATGGTGCTCCTTCGGCACTGGCTATGAGGCAAATCTTTCTATCTTCAGGCCCATGGAGCATCCGCCTAGCCCCATGCCTCAGCTCGCTGCTGGGAGGAGTCTCTGCCATCTTTGCCGGAAGAGCAGCATCCTCCTCCAGCTGATCAGTCTCAGGAGATGCGACGGAAGGTATGGGGGATGTGTGGAGAAGTTGGTGTTACGCAGGCGCAACTTGCCATGCCTGATGATTCGCTCGTGCATTTGATGCAAGCTGGTGCTATTTTTTGTGTGGTTGTTGCTGATGGTGTCGCAGCATTTGCGCTCCCACGCCCACAAGCGCCATCGCTACTGCATCGTCACTTCGACCAGCATGCCGATGTTTCCGCAGTTTTCCCCGCAACAGCCCTGTCGTCTGAATGTTCTGAACTCATCATCCTTTCGCTGCTCTTTGCTCAAGTGACACTTACCAGCTCCGATTTCCAGTCCTTCTCCTATAACTGGAGGGCGGCGCCAAGCCTCTTTGTGACTGGAGGACTCTCCAGCTCCAGCTTCGGTGGACCCAGCTTCGCCCAGTGAGGCCCAGCCGGTAGCTTTTGGGGGCTCGAAGGCCCAGGGCTATGTGGCTGTGAGGCTATGTACACACAAGCAGGGAGACGAGGAAGACCACAAACAGTCGTAGTAGAACGCCGCCAGTCCTGAAATTTGCACAGCCCCTTGTCACGACCGCTGATCGCCGTCTGAGTACGAATGTCATTCCAAGGACAACTGGTCAAACTCGTCAGGGCAGAGTAGGACGTAGAGGAAGCATTCGTACTCGGCACTGTGCGTGTCTTCGTACGTTCATGGTTTTCATGCCGTTGCATTGCTGATTTCTGAGTCTAATGTTTTATAACGTTCTATAATATATATATATATATGTGATGCAATGTTCTAGTTAACCTAGTTTCCATGCTTGGATGACCGGACACTCAAACTGGTGTTGGGTGGCCAGTGGTGCTTGCAAACTGTGCTGTGCTGCATGTTGCTTACAATTCCTAGCTGCAGCGTCCAGGACGGGGTGGTGAGGGGCCGACACGAGATTGTGCAGAACGGGCAAAGGTAGCAAAACGATTACTCAAGAAGTCAAGAGCTCGCGCGAAGCATCACCATTGTCGGCTTCGTCCTTGTAAACAAGACATGCCAACTGTCGTAGATGTTGTTCGGATCTGCAGCTGGTGCCCAGGGCTCTTTCAGCCGGTCTGCTGCTCTGGCTTCGGAGGGTTTCACCCCTCCGAAGGGTTCGTCTCCGGAGCACAGCAGGAGTCCACCTCCGTCGCAGGCGGGGCGAACATTGAATGAACGTCTTGGGTGTAGGTACTTCAATCCTCCTTGGCCACAACCTGCCGCAACAGCCAGAATGCATCAGTGGTAGCGTAATGATGATAGTCGTGGTGGAGATGGTGATGGTGATAGTACATGCGATGGCGGTAGTATTCCACATTGCCATGGCGACTGCAACAATGAGCTCGACGAGTGTAGCAACATCATTAACGACAGTGATGGCAAAAACGAAAACAACGATTACAACAAACAGCAGTACCAACGACGACGATGACGACGGCAGCAACAGCGGCAACGACAGCAGCAGCAGCAGCCACCGCCACCACCACCACCAC